AGCCATTTCAGTCCAGTTCTTAGAATTGAAAAGTTTCACTTAACAGCTGTTTACTTTCATATCAGCGTAGTTTCATTTCATATCAGCATAGTTTTTCTCATATCCACACAGGTAACGGACCAATGAGGTTCAAGTATTGAGAGAAAAGAATTAAAATTGTAATGCTTCGAACGTCAACTAATCAGCTGATCAGCTGATCAGTTGACCAATTTAATTGTTGATCCGACTTGTTCATGTTGATACTCGCGTATTCTTAATTAAGTTGGTGGAAGTCCAAAAATAAATTAAATATTTGCCGAATTGTACCTGATGCAATATTATTTATGGTAAGAATGCTGCTAGCAATGTAATATTTAACGAAGTTTAACAAACACGTAATTACAGGAAATCAGCTGATTATACAACAAGTCGTTGCATCACTTTCAGTGGCATGGACAATACACGAAAACATAACCTCTCTAAAAGGTTATCAGTAGTGATTGTTAGTAATTAAATCCAGATTGATAGTAATTAAAAAACGGTCGTAGGTAAAGTAGTGTACGCAACTCGCGTTAATAGTCTTTACGACACTCGTAGAAGTTTTTAAGGCACTCGCCAAGGCTCGTGCCTTAAATTTTCTACTCGTGTCGTAAAGACTCACTTAACGCAATCGTTGCGTAAACTACTATATAATGATAGGAACTGGTTATTAAAACAGTATTGATAATTGCTTGAATATATTTTTTATTTAGTTATTAAGATAACCAATACAGTTGTATGAAAAATCTTATTGGATGAATTTGTTCAATTTTTAGGGTACGGATTGTGAAATTTTATATACAGTAAATACATTTTTTACAAGAGACACAAGCCATCAAAAATATATTAATTGCGCAAAACCTTTTTTAAAATAAAACAAAAAATGCCAAAACAATGTATTAAATCTATTATACTTCGATGAATAAAAGCAATCTAACGATTTGAAAGCAAAATGGATTTTGTAAGGGCGAAATAAAGCGAATAAAACCTTCCGGATGAATTCAAGTAACTCCGTTAATTAAGGAAGTTTATGTATACCTAACTGAACGTGGTTTAGCAAAGTAAAACTCCGCTTACTCCTTAATAAGGCTCTCTTGAAAATTGATTTCATAATTTATATTAGTTGTTCATCTAATATAGGAGGGAAATATTCTTAATGTTAAATATATAAATTTTATTTCATAATATTAATGATTATTTTAAATGTTATAAATGTAATATTGTGTCTTTAAAATAATATTTCGTATTTTAACATATTTTATAACAAACTTTTATCCAAATCAAACTTTATAATGATTTTATCAACCACCTATAGTTTTAATTTTGCTAGTCTTCTAATATCAATAGCTTAGCATATTTCCTTTTGGTCTAAATTTCGATCTAATAAAGGCATGTTTTGATATCATACTTGTTGCTTTATGTTGACACATATTTGACCCAAAACATAACAAAACCATAAATAAACAAATCAAATCAAACTACATTGAGGAAGAGGGGTACATTAGCTTATTTCTATGAAATACAAACAAATCTTACTCTTGAAACTAAAACGTCCAATTGAAATAATTTGTAAGCTTAAAACCCCTTAATAGTTAATATACATTTTATAACTAATATAAACAAACAAAAACATATATTTTTATAGTTTAGTTGAAAAAAATTTAATTATCATATCTATTAAATACTATCTGCAATAATAACATTTTCAGGTGGTTAAAAACAACCAACTATGAGAAACATTTTCCTCTCTTTGATTGAAAACAGGATCCTTTGTTTGTCAAGGATTTGTCCTTCATCCTCTTGTAACATTCTTTTTAAGCTCTCACAGTTAATACAACGCAGGACGTCTGTTTACTTTGGGGACGTTGCTCTTCTCACCGACAAGCTTTGCGATATTGTATTTACTGGAAATACCCAAATATAAGCTCACACACTAAAAACTACTTACCATTAGCATTATATTTTAAATTAGTTTGTTTTATTGTCATAGTACGTCTTGAACTATTTTAATTTTATGTTTTGCTGTAGATGTAGACCATATAATTCAGTTGAACTCGATGGTCTAGTGGTAGAGCGCGATGCTCGGCTCCCGAGTTCCCAGGTTTAAATCCCCAACGGTTCTTAACTATGTTCTATTATGCCCACTTGTTCAGCTAGCCTACTAGGTCTTGCCTGAAGTAATATGCAAAATGATGAGCTGTGTCTAAGGAACATGTCGGCCTTAGTCACTAAGAAGACTACAAGATCATGCCACTCATCCTACACTCATCTCCAATTATACTTGGCTTAAAATACCTTCATCCGTATGGTGGCCATTTTAGAAGAAAGTATTTAAGTGTATAAGTAAGTATTTCAGACCAGAGCCTAACGTCCTACGATGTAAAATCAGTCATACAGATTGTGTTCTAGGAAATACTCGTAGAAAATGTTCGTCACAAGTTTAAAAATATTAAGTATTTTTGATAAATGGCCAGAGTAAATAATTCCACTTAAGATTACTGGTTTGTTTTTAAATCACCCACGAACGTTATCTCGATTCTTAATCCTGAAAAAGTGTTACTGTTTCAATTACAGCACACTGCAAGCGTTCTGTGGTACTCGAGGGGTTCCAAGCGCACAGAAACAATCTACTTAGTCTTGGTAACAGGACAGCAAATGATGGTTAATGTCGGTTGTTATGTGCCTGATAGTCTCCTCTACGGTGGTTGGTTGGTTCACTACCTAATAACATTGTACCCAGAACCTCCTAACTGTAGCGTGTAATACTCTCTTGCAATATACGTGCTGTACATTGACTTGTATATTTATATAAAATTGATACATATATCAATTTTGCCAATTCCTAGCTTCAATTATAACAAACTTAAAAAAGTGTTGTCACTTAATAATCATATTCATAACTCACCAACTTTTTAGAGATAATAGAAGATAATAAAATACCGAAAGCGGCAGGTGCGATTGATTTTCATGCCGTACTTAAACATTAATTTGTGAGGATGTTCGACAGAAGTTTCATCGGTGATCATCAGAAAATTCTTTGGTGCCTCATTTAGTAAAATAAGACAACAAACTATGTTTGTTAGGAAGGAGGTTATGTTTTTCTTTTACTCCTTTTTTCATTTAGGTAGGTATAATGATTACCATTATAGTCACAGTGATTCAGGATTGTTTTTATATGAAACTAGCTGAACCCGGCAGACGTTGTCTTGCCTTTGACTATTTATAATTTAAGTACCGTAACGTTTAATTGTCTTATTGTATATGAAGGTGCTTATAACTAAATTAAAAGTACGTACGACAACTAATGAAACACATATATAACAAAGGATAACCGATTCTTTATTATTGCTCTTATATTAATGCTAGTAGTGGGTAGACAATATTTTTGGTCTTTCTATTCGGCTCAATCACGTCCTGGTTGAAGTTTGTTCGCTACGCTCACTCACCTTTAGGTCGGAGCTCGTTTGCTACGCTCACTCACCTTTAGGTTGGAGCTCGTTCGCTGCGCTCACTTTACTTCAGGTTAGCTCGTTCGCTATGCTCACTTGCCTTCAGGTTAGCTCGTTCACTATGCTAACTCGCCTCCAGGTTGAAGTTCGTTCGCTATGCTCACTCACCTTTTGGTTGCAAATTAGCTGTTGTCATAAATGTAAAAGAAATAATAGTGCTGCACCCTGTTGGTAATCCTTGTAACTTTAATGCTATTGAACATCATAGAACAGAACCAACTTGTTTAATTGAAACAGCTGTTAAGATTCATTAACTCCATTTAAATATGAGTACTCATAAGGTTAACATGGGAAACTCCAGAGCCACTGGGGCGGAGCCGATTGGACGGATCACGAAATTGATGGTGTATAAACCTATTTCATGAAATTCTACACGTATGTACCAAGTTTCGTGGCAATCGGTTCAGCGGTGTCTGAGTTTATCACTGCCAAACAAATATATATATATATATATATATACAAACATCCTCTTTTATACTTATAGATAAAGTCTTGCAAAAAATAAATCTCAAATATATGAGGAATCTGAAATATTTCAAAGGTATTATAACAATCATTATAACATCATCATCATAAGAAACATTTGTTACATTATATTTTAATGTTGTTCGATTTATTAAACCTTTGAGTTTACACATGTTTGGTGAATGCACATGTTTTTATACGATAAAATATAAAAAGCTATTTCACAGGCATTATGAGGTATAGATCCCATTCATGTACCAACCAATTATATACTAAACCTACCTCTTCTCACTCGTCACTCGCACGTTTGATTTAAACATCCATTCATCTACAACCCACTCTGTAACGATGGTATTATATTGTGAATACTGCTGAGTTTAGGTACTGTAAATCGTAGCTTTCATTATAAATGTTTAACGTTACATTGTAGGGGAAATATGACGTACTGAAGTTAAATTTTACTCAAAAAGGTGTATGCATATGTTTACAAAAAGCCGATAATGCTTACCGTTGCTACTACTGGACTTCATGCATCATAATTAATTTTGGTTTGCAAAAGAGATTTCTTCTGCCTGCATGAATATGCAGGATTATCATTCGGGTATCTTTGGTAAGGAATATACTACATTTACATTTCTCATATTTTGTGTGTGTTATATCTACACAAAAAGCTTAATCGAGAATACTGTTTTTTTTTTATTTAATGATAATGTTCCCCTCTTTTCAAAGCCAAGAAAGTAAGGACAAAAAAGTTTAGAAATCACTTTCCTCTCATTAATGTTTTTGAACAATCTACAAAAATATAATATGGTTATAAATCATCTACTTATTAAGAGTATTCCTTTCTCAAAATTAAAAATTACAATTACATTTAACAAACAAATTCTTTTATAAATAATGTGTTTACAGAATCTCCCTTAACTTTTGAAGTCTCATTGAACACTGAGACTGCTTCGACCCTAACCAAATATAGTGTATCTATTTTCAAGTGTCTCTGGTGTGTTACAGATGAAGTGGTGTGGAGTGGTCGCGGTGGTAGTCCTGGTGGCGGCGGTGGTGAGAGCCGAGGGGGAGATCTGGGAAGAGGACGAACGGGAAGTGCTTATCCGCAGTGAACGAGGGACCAAGAACAACAAAGGTGAGAAAAACAACAAGACTTGTATTGTTGTTGATCAAACTTGAATGGCAACGATCGAATGAAGTATGGAGATAACGGCCATGTAATCACTTAGTAATATCATTTCATTGTTATTGGGAAATTTCGAATGGAAATAACATGATAATTAAAACGGATTGAAATCATTCGGTTCCTCACTTAATTAACGTATTATTTTCCCACGGTACCTTATAGACTACCCATATTTTTTTTCTACGATTGTTTACAAAGTAAATTTACCAAATGGAGCTCCATTTTATGAAATGTTTTGTATACATACATTCTTTTACTGTAAGTACATACAAATACGTCTAATAACTTATGTAATAATATCTTTACTCGTATACTGTTGACTCACAAGACATCAAATACATATAAAAGAAGATAAGTGGTGATCGATTTCGACTTTTTCCACAACTTTGCGCTAAATGATATATTATCTATATATATTATGATAATATTTGGCTAAATGTCAGAAAACAATATCAGATAGATTTTAATATTTTATGAGCAACCGTCGTTTCTGGTGAAAAGAAAGAAGGATTTGTTATAAAAGAATTCTTTGGAGGACAACAAAGCGTGTTCATCCTCTTACAGCATTTAGAGTCTTCTTTTAAACACAATTTAATAAAACCTTGTTTAAACAGAAGAATTTTTACCTTGTGTTTTCTTAAGTAAAAATATTGAAACCCTAGTAAGAAAACACCAGTGAGAATTAAACATGCACTAAACAATTTTGAAATGTCCTCCGACTGATTTATACTACACTCAATCGCAAAAAGAGAACTTAAAAAGTATAGTGTGGGTAATAGTTAAAAAAAAACCGTCAAAATTATGATTAAAGTAAATAAAATTCAAATTTAATTATTTTTTATTACTCTGTCTCAAAAACAGCTGTCTTACGGATCGTTTTGAGTCCCTAAAGATAGCTTTTTGCGGACTAGTTCGTTAAATTTTACGGACTCGAATCATATGGTTATGTCAAAGCTTATCTCAAAAACAAATCAGCTGTTCTGATCCTTTAAAATGCTTTTACAATATACAAACAAACTTTGTTTCTTACATAACATAATTCATTCAGTGTTACTGTATTTTTGTATTTTCTTCTATAATATATGACAATGTAATGAAAAATATTGTTCGTAACTTGTCCCAAAATGCTTTTTGTGACTTATTGAATTTCCCGCGTTAAACACGATATCGTCCCAAAAAAGCCTACTTTAGGGACTAGTAACGAAACTACTATTAAGTTAGAGGTCCGAGATAGGTTGTGTTACTAGTTAATTAGTTTTGTATGATGCTACATAACGTAATATAAAACATCTATGTTTTTCAACAGTAAAATCGTTTGTGTTTTGCTATAAAGAGTACACAAAACCACTTCTCATGCGACAGAAATTATAAGTGCAACCTTCAATAATGATTGTCTATAACTAATTTCAACGTTCAAAATATTTAATCAAACTAAAATTCATGGACATGTTCTGATTGTCTATAAATAACATAAACTAGAGGCTAATTAATCGTTCATAGTGCTAACATGTCTATAACTAATTTAAACGCTCAACTATATTTAATCAAACCAAAAAGCGTGCACAGGTACATGGTTTGAAACAATAATCTTATCCTTACAACTTAAGTAAATGACATTTTCAATAAACCATTCATTTGTACAACACAAGCTAATTACATGGCTTGCGAATAATTTTGAAACAAATTGTATTTTTTATATTGAGCAAAAAACTAATTTTTAATTTTTTAAATATGTATGTTTGGATTTCCCAGAGCCATGCCGATATGAGAAGGGGCCGTGGTCGGAGTGTGATCCCAAAAACAACATGAGAACGCGGACTTTGACTCTGAAAGACCGCAAGAAGGGGGACACCACGGCCGCCGCTAACTGCGAACCCACGAAGACCATCCAGAAGAAGTGCAAGAAAGGTAAGAAAGGTCTGTCGCTTCAACATTCACTACTTGGCATGTCTGGTGTGATTAGTGCTGTGGAAATGCATGGTGAAGTAATTGTGCTTTCAAACTAGACTAGTGAGAACATTATACTCCTGATAGGGGAATGAGGTATAATTAAAAATTGAGATTTGCATGAGCTAATGAGTAACAGTTTCATTTAGTTTTTGGAGAATTTGGCCTGCATAATTGTTTAATATAGTGTTTAATATATGTTTAATAAACCAACGAATATTTCTTTGTAAGAGATGAAGAAATTATAAAAGGTACGAGTTGGCTAGTCTCACCCTAACTAATAGAAATGTTTCAATAATATTCACTGATACGGCACAACTTTACTGCTAAAATAAGTAAACCAAAATTGTTGACATGTGACTCGTGTATCAAGCAGTTCTCAGTAGAAGACTTGACGTACCCGTTTGAACAATACTGCTGTAGATAGTGAATTTCGTTGTGGAACTTCAATTAAGAAATTCGGAGGAAACATTTTAACTCATCTCGAACGTAGAAAAACTATTGAAAGCCAAAGTTATTTTATTGATTTTATTATTTCCTAAAACATTAGTATTATCTTAAATAAGTAAAATGTAAACAACAAAACTGTGTCATCCATCAATGAGGGTCACCTTAGCCCGTGACAACAAGGTCAAATTGACTTCTTCCTTGTTAAAGTCAGGATATTATCATTGGGCATTCGGCGAAACATTTTTTCGTATGACTTAGAAAATGTTTATTTATATTCTTGTGCACTGCGTTAAGCATTTCATAGCTTGTATGTGTAGTGAAACTAATTGCAGCTGCAGTTATGAAATCCCATTTGTTTCGTCGCCAGTACTAGATTAAAGGTTGAGAGATATTATTTGATTAAATTGTATATACAGCATAGGATATATGAAAACATGAAGTGGTTAGATCAAGAGTAATAAAACGATTTGCATAAAACAGCTAGTGGCATATGGCTACTGCATAATAAAAAATAAATATTGAACAGTACACTATATTAACCGTTCGTCTCTTCTAGGTCACTCATATTGTGAAATCATACGTCAGCTCTATAGATCCGTTCCATTGTGAAATGAATCCGTTATCATGCATTATGTCTACATTACGACTGATGTATAATGTAGGACAATAAACAATGCTTATCGCTCGTAGTGCACCACATTCGATCCAATATAACACACAGACGAATCTCATATTGAGCCCTAAATTGATATTACGGATTTACTATATTTGATGTGGTTGAATTAAAATGTTTACAATTCAATCAAACATTAATTGTATACGAGCTGTTACCCCCGGGCTTAGCCCTGTTTGACTTCAAAAGTAATTGTAAATAATAAAACTATCGATTGGTTAAGTTAAGCTAAAATAAAAAATATAGTAATGCAAACAAATAATCACACCTGATTTCAATGAGGTAATAAATTGAAAGAATAACAAACAAATAAGTACAGCTGATGTATTTTTAACATCAGGTATATGGAAAGTTCCCTTTAGAAATGAATTACAACCTTAAAGGGTAATAATTTATGAAATAATGGATAGTTTTGCGCAAGTTTTCTCGTCATGACGAACATTTTAAGTAAATGGTTTATGGGTACTTTGGGATTTATATATGGATTATTTGCATTACACTCATGTTTAATTGCCTTCTTCTGATAGATTAAAATCAATACCCTTTTCAATTTTTCTGAAAGCTATAAGCAATAGAAGTGCAAAACATAAACTTAGCATTAGAAAAAACTAGCATTAACTACAAGCATAGTAAATAACTTATCAGTCCTCACTGCTATAGCCTAATGTACTAAACTTACTTTTAGCGAATTTCCCTATAGGGAAGTAGCTATTACCGTAGGTCTCATGGTAAGACTTAGGCCCGGGACCGATTTACTTTTTCATTTTGATGTCCCCAGAGGCCAAAAACACCATTCGTTCAAATTTTTATATATGTATATATATATATATATATAAACATACTAGAAGCTGTTAAGGCGACAGTACGAGTAAGACGACAGTTACTGTCGCCTTAACAGCCTCAGGCGTGCCAACATACGTTGCGTGGCGGCTGATGACGTGGGGACTGGGATGGGATCTCTTGTTTCCCGCCGACTCTCAACTGCCGGCCTGCCACTCCTACCCTACCACCGCGGTGCTCACTGCGCACAGTCGTAATCGGACATGGGAAACAATGCGTTTCCGGGCTAAAAGTTGCAATCTAAAGGAGTTGCCACTTTAAGAATACATACTGTTTACTATTGTATAATTTATTACCAATTATTTTGATGGTTTGCAAAAGTTTTACACTTTGTCAACTGACGTTGTGGTATGGCTTTGTCGAAAATCTGTTTATTGTTAATCTTTTTTAATCTTTTTATTGTTAATCTGTTTTTGTTAGTTTTTTTTTGTAGTACAAAAAAAAAGTATTTTCACAAGATTCCATACATAAAATCAACTTCCAAATTCAATGTTTCGTAGCTGTGCAGATTAGTGTTTATGATTTCTTTTATAAAAATATCAAACTACTGTATTCATTTTTTTTTTTTTACTTTTGCTTAGTTTTAGGTAAGTAGCCTAAATAGACTCCATGTGTCAAATGTTGGGTAACAGTTGTATTCATATATTTTATAAGTAATCTACACAAAGGCCAACGTCTGTATAACTAATGCATTGCTAAATGTTTTACCACTGGTATTTAGCTTTATGGTTTGGGGGGGGGGGAGTTATGTGACTGTAATAGTGCCCACCACTGTCTCTTCTGCTGTCCATTGACGATTACGTGCTCGTACAGCGCAGTCTTATTGGAACGCCCGTCCGTCTACCTGCTCTTTACAGCCTGTTTAGGACTAGGATTACGAGTTCTGTCCTTTGTCATAATTTATGAATGGCCTTATTAGTCCTAATAACCCCAGCCCCAAAATCGTAGTTATTAGGATACAGTTTTACGCTTGATAAACAATGCCGCTTGAGATAGTCGACATACATGTCGCATTGTCATTCCTCTGCATTTTGGGCCCTCTGCAACGTTTGTATTGAGAACAATATGTTTAAGGTGATTGTTGGGTTTTTATTGTCAAACATTTCCACTTCATCTTTGTACGATCAAAGGTTTTTCTGTAATCAATAGTGAACACCTTACGTGATTCACCATGTATGCCTATATACGACAAGGCCGAAGAGAACAGTCCCAAAACAGAAACTGTAGGTTTTCAGGCAAATGTAGCTTAAGAAGAAGAAGGAAACAGCGTATTACGAATACGTTTTGCTATAACTATTTCGTTACAGTAGTTCAGTAAACTTCATGTTTATGTATATTTCATACTCTTTGGTTTAATTGACTACTTGAATGTATTTGCCTTCAAACATATGTTCTTAATCAAGTTAAATTATTCTCTATTTTTCACATATGTTGTATTTTAAAAATACAACGTCACAAATATACAAAATACAAAAATAAAAAAAGACAAAAATACAACTCTCACTCATTTTTCTCTTTCTTAACATTATACCTTCTGATCCTTCAAACTATTTCCCATGGCCCTTTCTTATTTCTATTCCTTTTTCTCAACCATTCCCTATAATATTTTTATTTACTTCTCTCTAATTCATCCATTGGTATTTATATCCTACTTCGAAATCTTTCAAACAGTAGTATTTTTAAACGCCGTTAATGTTTATAACTCATATACGCAAGCATTTTTCTTTTCACAGTCATGACTCGATAACGGCCTGATGGATTTTAATGTTTGAGGTATCAAATTAAAGGCATTTTCATGTAGATGTGCAAATACGTCTCAGAACATTAAGAAAGGGCATTACGTAAGTATAGTTAAGGGCTAAATTTTGGGGACGGCAGCGCTATCTGTTGACATTAGATCAATCTCAATTCCCTTTGTTTACAACTAAACATATGGACGAATAGTTAAATTGATTTACCTTGCATCGTATTTTATCATCGTATTATGCATCGTATGTCTTTAACCTTCAATACTTTAGAAACAAACTAACGAACATTCAAAAACCTAATTTGGTGCGACTTTTTCAACGTTTTCTCCCAAAGTTTTACATGTTTAATATATAGTTTAACTACATTATGTAATTTATTAAATAGGCTACCAATAATATTTTTTAGAGAATACGTCATCTATAAAACAACGTACACATGTTTGGATGAGGATATTTTTTCCAACTGTCACTGATGTATTTAAATTAAATGTTAAAAAAGGGAAATTATTTCCGATCACGTTTTGTAACCAAATCCACAACCAAGAGACAACGATATTGTTGTCTCTTATCTCGTGTGTCTTATTTACAAATTTAATTGATCCCCACTACGAAAGTGTGTATAAATTAAATTATTTAACTAACAACCGTCTCGAAAAACTGGGAATTCTGCATGTTTCAAATTGTACTGAACTTGAGTTTTGATAACCGGGAAGAAGGCCATGAATCAGTGTTTTATAGGACTGGGAAGCTTAAATTTAGAATTGTGTCAATAACCTAACACAGTATATAAAATTGTAATAAAAAACGTTTACTGAAAGAGTATAATGTTTTTTTGTGATATAATTGAATTAATTAATGTAGTTAATGAGTTAATGATTTGTAGCACTGATCACCGATACTGTCAATAAGGGCTGAGTCAAGGTCAGCCATTATTAGCTCCCAAACTTCAAACTCCTAAAAATACGTTATTTGAAATTTTGTTAGATTTTCTTATATTGGCATACTCAAACATTTTGGTTTTCTTTTGGTTGAGTCCTAATAGCGAACAGTCCAGATTGTGAACAAGGGTAAAATTGTCCAGACTGCAGACACCTAAAAAATGTTAAGGTCTACGTAAAAGTCGTCATAAGCCGACAAATATTTATTAGAAACAATTTTTATAATTCTAGGAAAACATTGTAATTACAATCCATAGACAACTGTTTGCTGAAATATTAACAAATCTGTAACGTAAAATTTAGTAACTAAAC